GAATCTTTATAAGTACACTTCTCAGGTCATAAAAGGAGCAGTCTTGTCTCGGACGACTTTGTTCGAAGTCAGTTGTAGTTTACAGAGCTGTGGCCGTCAGTTCAGGTGAGGATACTTCATTTCAACTTCAGTTCTTACTGCTTTCACATAAAGTCTCAATACATAAAAGAGAACGATAGCTAAAAAGAGCGACAATTGGATTTGCTAGTTGCCTGGCTCGTCTAATTAGAGGACTTGGCAGTTTGGACCGAACCAAAGAATCCGACCCACCGTAACTAGACTCGTAATCTTTAATAATTTCGGTTCCCTTGCCAATGGAAGGCAGCGGGTAAGTGATACAATAATCCGTTTCAGATGATTCAGATCAGTAATCTGATGAATCCCTGTCCAGAGTGGATTCAATGGATAAAGGATCAATGATCTGAAAACGGATTTGCACCAAAAGAACGCTACAGATCAGAATCCTTATCTTGATCATCCCGAAGAAAGGCACCTTAAATTTTGAGTTATTTTATAACACATCCTTTTTTTCGTACCAAACTTTCTAGAAGTATCTTGAACCTAGCAACAAGACCATTAAGACACGTAGAATACAGATGTTATGAGTTGTTTTTTATCTGAACTCGTGGCTAACATTCATTGTTTGTGTAGCTATTGTAATAAATTCAAGACCGTTGGTATAAATTTACAATTTACGTTCGAACCATACGTTGAAGATGCAATAAACGCAAATCAGAGTGGAGTTCTAAGTCTTCCTGAGTTGTTCGAAGTCCAGTTATCGCATTTCCTCGGTGCCGAGGAAATAAGAGACGGATTTGGAAGAGCTGCCCTTCCGTTAGCCAAGCGAATGCTTCAGCTTGGTATAATTTCCCTTCCATCGCTGGACAGCCAAAAAGTATCGTCACAATTAAGTACGTCAGTTATCATTTCAGGGGACAGAGAATGGCGAGTCTGCGTCGAGTCAGCTATCTCCTCATTATTTTGTTTTTTCTGGATGTATCCTTCATTGACCACGTAGCCACACAATGCGGGGTTCTCTGGAGGCCTGGTGGAGAAGATTGGGCAAACACTTGGGATGGAATGGTTCTTTTTAGCTGTCCAAAAGGTATGTTGTGTACCTAATCAGCTCAGGTGAAAAAAGGAGAAGAAAAAAGGCGAACTCAAACGATGTGTACATATCTCATCTGAGTAAGAGAAATTCTTTCTCTTCGATACTGAGAGGAGAAGTATCTTGTTGAATTGTAACTCTGATTACCAACTCTTTTTCGCAACAGGTAAATCGATCCGTCGCATCCATAGCATCCACAGGAACTGCATAGAAGATCGGATCTGGGCTTTTAGCTGTGAGTCAAACTCTGCAGCCCAAGTATGCTCCTGGACAGGATTCGTGAATAGTTATGACGACCTTCTGAACTTCAAATGTCCAAACAATGGTTTCATTTCAGGCATATACAGTGTGCACAGCAACAAACGCGAGGATCGCAGGTTATTCGGCTTCTTATGAACAATGAGCTTCGATAATAATCTGATATTTCATTGGACATGCCTAACTTCGCTTTGTGATTTGCCGAAAAAAACTCGCGCCACATTCTCTACCAATCAGATGTAAAATTGAAAGACTCTTGACTTGAATAACCCTAAGCCTTACCCAAGAACCCAAACTCCTCTATTGCAGGTTTGAGTTCAAGTGTTGTCACAGCAGCAGCTACAGCCGCCACAGCTGTAAATGGAGCCACACCACTAACTGGGACGCCGACATCGACTATAGCACCACTTGGGGTTGGCTGGCTGGAGCACACAGCTATCACAATAACCATTACGAGTATGTAACTCAGCTCTGACAAAGGGGGACATCAATACAAGTGGAAATCAATCTTTGATATAGCTGTTTTGATTATAGAGATGCGTCCACTCTGGTCGTTGGATGATTACATCATTTATTACACCCATTTTGAAATCACTGGTGGTCCCTGTAATCTGATTGGCCCTAATTGATGCGATTTATTCACGAATCGCACCATTTTTTGCTTTAAATCGCATCTTTTTCCCAGCCAATGAGGAGGCTACACTAAAAACAAAACAACCAATCAGATTTAAGGCTTGTTACAGTAACCGATCAAATTGCAGGAAAATGAAAGACAAAGAGTATCATGTGGCAAATTTTGCAACTTTTGTTTCTGAACTCTTACTTTTTCCCTCAAAAAATGGACATGAATTTAATTTCAGACCGGCTCAGAACTGCATCAATAAAATATTTGAACTGACCAAGTCCTGTATTTGGGCAATTTCAAAATGGATGTAATAAAGTGGTAATTGAACCTCGTGTCGTGCAATTTTGGTCTGAAATCATACTTGTGATTTCAAATCGAACTTGCGCTGCGCGCTCGTTCGATTTTGAAATCACGCGTATAATTTCAGCCCAAATTGTACTCCACTCGGTTCAATTACCATTATATATCGCTATTATCATGCGACGCGCTTTTGATATAATTGGACGTGAGATATAGGGACTGGGTCGAGTTCATCAACTCGACCTAGTCGAAACTTCCTGCGAAAGGAAAGGTAAACTTAAGGAGGGAGGGGGGGGGGAGGAGTAGAAGGGAGGGGTAAAAAAAAATAAGAGAGCAAAAAAAGGAGGAAAGATTTGTTTCTTATATCCTTGCCCTTATCTTCCCATTCTTATATTGTTATCTTCTTTCGATATCTTTCAGAGACCGAAGATGGCAATTTTATCAATGTAAGAAGATCTAGCTGTATCAATAAATGATGAGGACGGTGCAATAAGAAGGATTCTATCACGTGGTTAACGTTTAAACTGATTAATATGATTACATTAGAAAAAATGTTATCTTTAAAGCTATCGACGCCTAAATCAACTAAGGGAATTTCTGAAAGATTAATCTTATTTTGTTTTAATTTAAGCTTTAGAAAGGCCAGCAGGGCCTTAAACAAATCGATTTTTCAATCCGTCAAGCTGAAGAAATTTATTTGAATAAATTGTTTTGGATACTCAATCATTTTCAATAAAATATATTATCATGAAAATAATGACTGAATACGCCTCGGCCTACTCATATGTGTGCATAGATACCTTTACCTGCCGCAAGCATTATTCAAGAGGGCTTCAAATTTTAAATCATGGGATTACCACCTAAATAGTTTCATACCCAGATCTTCCGTTTCTAATCATATCCGTTGGGTCAAGGTAGAGGTCGATTGCCTTCTTAGCACCGCTAAGCTTAGCTTTGTAGTAAAAATAGAGAGAAGGAGAGAGAGGGAGGGAGAGAGAGAGAGAGAGAGCCTGTTATCCTCTTCCTATGCATTTGATCTTTCCTCCACATTTTGGAGTTTCCCCATGTCTTACCTGACCAATGTTTTGTGGTTACTCTCGAGTTGAAGCGTTTTAGACCTCGCCTCAAATGACTTTTAACTACACTTTACGATATGTCTCCTCGGAGACGTATCGTGAAGTGTAGTTTGCTCCTCTTTCATCGTGCTTTTAATCTACGCAGGTGAATTTTCATCACTTTTGAATATCTGAGTGCTTTTTTTTTTTTTTTTTTTTTTTTTTTTTTTTTTTTTTTTTTTTTTTTTTTTTTTTCAGGAGGGTCCTTTTGGGCACTCAAATTTGAGCAAGAAAAAAATAAAAGTCCAGAATATATACCTGAAGTGAATGATTATAAAGTTCGCTTCACAGCCTGGGGCATATGTCTTGAATCATATCATTTATTCCGCTTAGCAGAGTCCAACGTCCTGATTCGAAGAGATCGTGCATCTTCATAAGGCTCTGACAGATTTTTTACGCTCTTGTCACATTTTAAACCAAGACATCGCGGAAAAGAGCAATCTATTTCAAAATTGATATAATTTTAAAATGTTAATTACTGTAATAATTCGATCTAGCGCCCGAGCGCTTATTTTCTTTTGGTACCTCAAGGGAGGGCGCTTATCGAGGGCAAGCCGCTTGTTTCTCAAAAGAGAAATAGAATGTGCGAAATAAGGCTCTGATATTAATTCTAAAAGGATCAAGAAGACTGAAAAACGGACTCGTTGTCCATAGATCCTTCCTGATTATAGCGACCAGCCAAGTTAGGATGAGATCATTTGCTCATTGGAATGAGGGTGCTAACTCAATAGGGAAGTTCATAAGAAGAGGGGCGCAGATTCGAGGGAGTGCATACTTTAGGGATGCTGGTTGGGACGAGGGCGCTAAATCAAATCATTACTTATCTTTTTTTCCTTTTCTTAGCTTTACTAAAACCTCAGAGAAAAAAATTGTATTAAAGGTTACAAAGAATATAAGCACCGCTCTCTCTCACCTCGTTGCAACGTCGCACTCTTGAAACAAAACCAACACAAATGTTTTGACAGCGAAACCCCCCGCCATGCTTGAGGAATAGAACGCTGACGTGGCTGAGAAGGGGAATGGATCGAGTAATTTTAGCAACTGATGCAAGTAAGGTGACGTCAGTGAACAGAAAACGTCCGGGGATTCCCCGCCAAATCCGGGGTTTTTATTCGCACTTTCGCTTTCCGAAGTTGTATTTGTTCTCGGATACGTGAGGGAAGATAATCGTATGAAACCCATTTTTCATTCACTCTTGGTTTTGGTTAGAAGTCTTTGAGTTAGAAAGAACCTAAGATCTATTTTGAAGGGCTGTCTACGAGAAACGACGTCACAGAAAAACTCGTGACATCTTGAATTTTCATTTGTAATCGGGTTACATTTCCTTGCATGGTAAATATTCGATCTCTTTGAGTTTCAAAATCATCGAAATTTCATGGCTTAGAAGTTCACCTCCAGAATCTCAGATGGTTTAAGCTGTTGTTCAAACGTTTGGCATCGAAATCCTTCTCAGGATCCATTCCGGTCCATCGAAACCTTAGCTGCTACTTCTCTCATTGCCTCAACGAAACACGAATTGAGCGTGCCTTTTAGATAACTGTTATGTCCGCCAGCGTCAGTCCGCTTCCATCGAGTGAGATGAATAGCTCACACTCAAGTGAAGGTAGCAGTGTAAGTGGCTTTGTTGTAGTTTCTAAAGACGACGGGCAATTGCTCAATTCCGACGACAGTAAGATTGGAAAAATAGCTGAGATTCCAGGTAAAAGCGAAAGCCTCCCACAAGGCGGAAGTGTGTCGCAGAATGAACATGAACTAGCTGATAGAGTTCAGAATCTTTCCAAGGAAAATGAACAACTTAAGGGGGTGCTGCTTCAGAACAATGAACTCCTCGAGGTAGGGTTCATTTCAAATGTTAATATAAGTTGAAATTATGTGAAACCAGAGAATACCTGAAGAGCTTCACTTTCTGGTCACAACTTAACAAATACCTCTTAGCGCGGAGCTAGTTTGTTTGAAAATAAGGTGATCCTACTTGCTGTATATTAACGATATCTGACGCATGACTGTATTTCATTTAGATATGACCCACAAATGAGTCTACCTGATACTGATATGAGCCTCTCTGACCTTCAACAATATTGATGGTTTGTTTCAAACTCTTGGTCACTGGAGATAAGTGCAAGAGCACAAAAGCAAAGGACAGGGGTTGCAGTGGTCAATAAATCTGTTGTTTCTGCCAACCTCATTTTTAATTTGTTTCCCTATCAGTGAGAGGGTACCTTGTCTGAAATGTCTATTTGTTTGGTTGTTTTATTGGTTCTGTTGATCTTGTTTGTTTCTGATCTGCAGCTTGTTTTCAATTAAAAAGTTATATCATTTTCATAAAAGAGTCAATCACCTTGCACTGCACCCTTACAAATATTTATTTTGTACAGGTTGTCAACAAACAAGGAAGTTTTAACTACTTTAGCTGGTGTTATGAGGCAAAATTTGCTTAGATTGATGAGTTTTAAAGTACTTACCTATTTCACTGCAAAACACTTTCCTATAATTTATTGACAATGATCTCTTCTTGTTGCTTTTATAGAAATATTTTGAAGAACTTGCAGACATGCAGAAATCTCAGAAACAGACAAGTGAGTCTTCACGCAAAGGGTATGAACGTGCCAAGGAGATGATCAAGAACCTGCGAGAAAAGAATGGAAAATTAAAAACTGAACTGAAGAATGAGCAAAATAAAACTTTGCAACTGGAGGAAGAGCTGTCCAAACTGAAGGAGGCAGATCAAAATGAAAAGTCTGCACATCTTGAAGAAAGTTATCATATAGACAAGGCTAACCCAGATCAAGCGCAGTCTCTAAACGAAGTGGTGAAGAAGCTTGAATCTGAAAAGGCCACCCTGGAAATGAGTAACAGCAAACTGCAAGAACGTATTTCCTGCCTAAAGGCCATGCGAGAAGCTGAGCCGGTAAGATTTACTTGTTCTGAAACTGTCACCCAAATCTCACCAAGCCCTAGGTTTCCAGCTTTCCACTTTTCCATTTTTTTTTAATTGTCTTTTTTTTTCTTTTTACAGAATACTGAAACAGATGACCTTGATACTCTGGTTTCTCTTGACACCCTGTCCTCTGACATTCCTCTCGAGAGCCCTGAAGCAGTTTGGGAGAACTTAAGGAAAGTTGAAACAGAAAAAGAAATTTTGAAGGTAAAATTGGAGGAGATGAAAATTGAGAGTGAGCAAAACCAACAACAGTTTAATCAACTTGAGGAAGAACGTGACCAGCTTTTAAAGAAAATTCAAGATATGGAGCAAAGGCAGGTATTAGAAGAAGAAGATATTAAGCTTGAGGTAGCTGAAAACCAAGCTTCCACTGCAGCAGCCACAGAGCAAATTGCTGCTTTGAGTGAACAGCTTAGAGTGCAGACAGAGGTGATGAACAATCTTACAAAGGAACAGAATGCTTTGAGGCAGGAAAGAGACATGTACATGAAGAAGGCTGAAGAAATTGAAAAAGTAAAGATACTTTTGTTGGTTGGTTGTTTCTGATGACTTAAAATGTGGACACAACTAAGAGAAATGGATAAAATGAAGAGCATTTTATGATCTTACACACAGTAGAAGCAGAAAGAGGGCAGAATCTGTACTAGGAATGGGGGTTTACACCAGAATTAAAAGGAGTAAGGAAATTGAGAGTTAACTTCAATGTCTCTCTCTCACCTATAATCATGTCTTTTCTTAGTATGTCACATCAAAAGAGTTCATTTTAGATGGAAATGAGATTAAGTATGTAACATGTATATCCTTAATTAAGTTTTCTTGGTTTTGTAGAGAACCACTGAGAATGTTGAAACTATAGGAGAACAGCAGGAAAACTCTCCTGAAAAAGGCAGTGATAATCAGGAAGAACTAAAAGTAAATGAACTACGCAATACACTTGAAAAAGTGAAGAAAAACCTTTGGGAATACCAGAGACGTGAAGGAGATCT